GACCACGCCGCCGGAAGACGGTTTTCGTTTTATTAAATTCAACTACCGCCGGCGGTCGGCTAGCCAGTACGTTTTTTTTTTAACAATTACCAAATTACATTTGTAACAACTTGACATAATGTTTAACTAACTTCAAATCCTCTGGAGAATGGTTTGAAACATATGTACAGGATCAAAAAATTGGTTGGGTGATTTGCAAAACTTCTGTTTTTATTCTCTTATGACAAAGGTTTCATTTAGTTCTATTCTAATTGACTAAAGAGTTTTGTAATTGATACATGTATATAATAACTGTATCAAAGATTAGCCCACTGCTTTACCTCATCAGCGATATTAACGATTCGTGATGACCAGACGGCCTTAACTATGCCGCCACGCTTTCAACCCGAGTCTTGACTAACAGGTAAGAACAATTTATGCAACTCCATACGTTATCCGTCCTGAAATGGTTAAACCCCATAATATGGAGAGATAAATAATGGGAAGATCTGAATTTAATTATGCTTAGAGCTCAATAAAAGTTTTACTTCTTTAAACATAGTAAAACTTTAGAATTTCGGTATTTTCTGAATATTCTCAATTAGAATCAGAATAGTATGGCCTTACAATCCATTGTACATATCATTATTATTTTATCTTTGGTTGTTTATAAGCAGGTAATGTCAGATGTAGCCCAGAATTATGTGGCCTCTTTGGTTTATTGTATTCCTTCTTTCAGCATATTCAGCTTATATTTCTGAATAGTCCTGTACCAAGTGTTCCTGCAGGGTTATTCTACTAAGGAACTATAAAAGAGACTATAAGTTTAGCATACTAAACATGTAGACTCTAAATTATAGTCCAGCCATATTCTACTAGTCTTAGAAATAGTCCGACTATAAATTTAATAGGGCTACAACTACAGTACTAGAAAATTAGTCTGTGAGGTTTGGCAACGTTGTGTTCTAAGAACATCAAGAAGAAGAATAATTATATGATTTTGCTTATAGCACATAGATGTTTAGTCTAATGCTTTTCAAAAAAGAAGAATGAATAATTCCCATTCAATACTTCATTAGACTTTGTGTTTACTACCAGTGTTTTGCTATTTTATTATTAGATTTTTATGATTAAAAATGGATCAGAAACGACAGAGATGTACAGAAATTCAATTAAACCACTTAGTAGACTACGTGTCTGATCATAAAAAATTTGCGACAGGAAAGTTTGTTGGCATACAAGGGAAAAAAATTCAAGGGGAAATGTGGGTAAAATTATCAGATAACTTGAATGAAAATGGGTCCCCAAAAAAGCGTTGAACAGTGGAAAACAATTGTTAAATTTTAAATTATCTGTTGTTTTCTGAAGATTTTTCTATTTAAGTTTGTTCCACTTTACTTTTGCCGTTTTATAATTGTCCGATAAATATTCACAACTCTCACATCAAATTCCAATAAAATGAAAAAATCAGGATATGTGTACACTTCTAGCATACTTTTAAATTTAATTGGCACCTTATTTGGTGCTTATAAGAATAGACTACAGTATAGTCCTCATATGCAGACTATAAGGGGTGCTAGAAGCTTAATAGAATACGAAAAAGCTATGACTCCACTTTGAAGTTAGGAACATATAAAGTTCAAGCCAAAATCCAACTTGTAGCCGGGCTATAAATTTAGTAGAATAACCCTGCAGATGTACTTTTCGGTTTTATACCAAAAAGTGGGTGTCAATACCTACCTACGGTTTCACATTTTATGATCCCAACACATGAAGGTGTTTTAACAAGCAGAGTCCCATTAGTAATCCCACAGTGGTAAATATCTAGGTCCTTGGAAGCTGTAGTACCTCAGCAGCCATGCCTGTGCTTAGTTTCTTCTGTGTCGTCTTCTCTGTTGCAAGTTTGATGTTTAGTGGTTATTCACTTGTTCACTACCTGTCAAGAAGAGGTTTGGCTTATCCCAAATGCAGGTTAGGGACCTGGTACCCACTCTAGTTTTATATCACCTGGCTGATCTGAATAGTTTTTGTTTAACTGACTTATGTTAGTAAAGGATTTTTATAAGAGACTAACAGTGAGCTGTGATCCCTGAAATTAAGGCCTTATTTCCAAGTCTCACATTATTTGACTTAATGTTATAGTGATGCATGAAAAATAAAAAACAACAATTATATATTATAAATATCAAGTCACAAACAAGGCTTTTCAGATCATTTCAACTCTTAGTGATTTCTTATACAGTAGAGCATCGATAATTCGGACGTTTCCAATGAAAAAAAAAGTTGAACTGAATACATACATGGGTACATATTTGTCAAACAAAAGCGTTGATGCGACAGGCTGGGCAGGGTCGCCTTAACCGCTACAAAATGTATAAACTTCACAGTATTCTGTAAATACATATTGTACATTACATATGTATGTATATTCTATCATTAAAATACGTTATAAGTTCATATTAATTAATGGTTTTATTTATCTGCTCAATTATTTAACCATAAAAGTGACATAATAACGGTTTTAGCAAGTTTTCTTTTTGTTATGAACTCAAGTGCCCTTTTTTGTTACTTTTCGAAAATTTTGATAATCCGGATTATCGACGCTCTACTGTATTCATTTTGACATTATTCCTAATAAATCAGGTGCTAATAGAGTAAAGAGGGCAGATTGATAGAGATTTTTATTAGTAATATTTTTGAGTATCTCTATACCAATCTGATCCTCCACCTTATTTATATATTATTACAAATGCTCTGGAGTGATATTTTAAAGTGTAATATTTTGTTTAGATCTGTGTAATACAATTTGAGTACTAAACTGAAAATTTGACTATCATTTCTAATATTTATAGTTAATTTAGGTATTATTTATTTAACTAACTAATTTATCTTATTTTTAAGATAAATATCACAGTTACAGAACGAGATTTTGTATTATCAGTAGTACATGATAACAGCTGTGGACTGTACAAATATAAATAACAGTTTATATATTAGGTATTTGCATAATGATGAAGAAGTGATTTATTGAACATATTTCAATTAATTGACTTATGAGATATACTGTTTCCCGATTATTTTTTCTCAAAAAAAAAAATGACTAAAAAAAGTATAAAAATTAATTTATTATATATTAGTGGTAATTCTATAACGTAATGTTAAAATTTAACGGACGTTAAAAATATAACGTATAGGTGTGTTCTTTTATTCAACAATTGTTCCACCAGTGGTTGATGTCATGACGTCACTGATTAATTTCTGATGGAAGGTATTAGCGCTGAAAATAAGAACGAACGACATTTCTCAAATCAAAAATTTGACGTTTGACATCCCTTTAAAAATTAAACCCGTTTTAATTTAAATTAACAGTAATTTATCTCTTCTGCAGCCGTTTTATATTTAAACTCTTGTAAGTTAACTTTTATCTAAATAATCGTGTTCACACGTTCAAACAAATTGATTAACTATCTTCTCCATTCGTCCATCATACATCCATTGGCTTTTAAAGCAGCTGGATGCGTTTGCTCATTGGTGAACTCTCCACTGGAAAAAAGAACGATTGACACATACAATCGTCTTTTCATCTCTTAATTTACGAACGGTTTGTTGCAAGCGCTGAATACAGCGTTGAATAAAAGAACACACCTTATGTTAAATATGAAAAACAATTCTGTAAATTCATGAAAAATTTTAACTCATTATAATTAACATAATAGTTCATTTGTGCCGCAAAAATCTATTCTATAAGCAGAAATATGTTAAAAATTTAACATATATGTGTTAATTTTATGCGTTAAATCAAGGATGTTAACAGGTACTAATTAGTAGGCTTTAAAATTTAATATGGGTCATTCTCAGTTAAGCCGTAAATTCGACGTCCATATCAAAAAATCACCTTTTTTAAAAAAATTTATTAAAAAGAATGTTATTTTCTCTTAAAACTCGTGCTCATATAATTGGTCACTCAAATTCATTTCTTAATTTTATTTAATTTAGTCACAATTTCACCTCAAAGTCGGAAAACATCTCTCCCCTGGCTTGTCCCCGGGCCGATTCTGTTTATTTATTTGTAATTTTAAGTACTTGAAAATCAAATAACTTATTTAAATTATACATTTCAATAAAATAATTTAAATAAATTATCGTAATCAAGCAAGTAAAATTGCGTGATATTTTTTTTTCTTAAAAAAAAAATTACGTTTACGTTTGTCCTCCGTATTTTGCGTCTCGTCCCCTGGCACGCTTATTTTTGTGTAAAATCGGCATTTGTTTACTGACTTGCGGGAATTGAAGACCTTGAGCGAACGTTGTTGAGTGTATAGTTTGTAATCAGAGCCACTCGAACTAGGTGCGCAGTCATTTAGTCATTTATTTCGTTACTGGCACTCTGTGCATACAGTTGACAACGAGTGAACAGAGTCTCTCCCCTGGTAAGTTTTATTTTTAAAATATTCATCTAAAAATTTTAATTCATTCGTATATTTACTTCTCGTTGTGTATAGATTCTAACTTTTCTTGGTTAATTTCATACAATAAATACATTTGTCATTATTTCTATTTTTGTTACTAAAAAGTATCTCCCCTGTTTATATCTCCCCTGTCTTGTAAGGGCCAGGGGAAAGACACGATATCCAGGGGAGATATGAAAACTTTAAACTATAATTTTTTTTATTGTTTAAAGGTTAACTATTGTTATTTAATAATGTATATATTGATAATGTATACTCATCAGTGATGATGAGCCATTATCACTTCGATTAACAAAGAAATCTACAAAGAAGAAACATCACTCAAAGCCCTCATCGTCACGAACACTACGTAGCCAAAAGCATACACATTAAAAAAAAATGAAAAAGTAGCAGTTATAATATGTAAAAGCTAAAAATGAAGGTACTTTTAATTTTTTCTTTCTTAGTAGTAAAATATATCTGTGTTATGTTTCACTCAATGTTATATTATTATTAATATTATTTAGTTAAGAATTTCTATGATAAATTTATGAACAGTATTACTAGTACATTACATAGGCTGTTTATGAAAATGAAAAGTTTAATAATTATTAATTAATGATTAATGATTGATAATTAAAAATTTTAAAACAAATATAATTTTTGTTATTGCTGAGATTATTATTCAAATAATAACTTCTTTTTTAAAGTTAAACTGTATACTAGTATATTATGAAGGCTGTTTGAAAATTTAAAGACTAATTATTATCAATTAATTATTGATAAATAAAATTATAAAATGACTGAATAAAGTTAATACTTCAATAAAATGTTGTTTTCTTTCATAAAATAATGTTAAAATCCTTTCTCTAATCACAAATTATTCTACTCTGTACATTAAGGGGCCTATTCAGTAACTCTGAACGACGTCGTTAATAGACGATAATCGTTCACAGACGACTTTTCTTATTCAGTAGACAACGATTGTCGTTGAAAATAGACAAACATGGTTGTAAAATTGTCGTTCATCAACGATAGCCAAAGAGCTATCGTTAATAATATGAAGTGTCGTTATAGTGATTTTTGCATTCCCTCTCATTTTTTATTGTGAATCAGGATATGTTCTAAATAATAAAAACACTTTTTTACAAATTTTACAACTAAATTGCCATATACCTAATACAGCAAGTAAAATTTGTAAGGAATGTTTTTCTAATTTATTTAATTATTTTAAAAATAAATCTGATTCAAAGTTAGGATTGCCCATTCAATCATTTACTATTGGATTCTTATTAACAGTGATGTTCCTAAAGTAGCACTGCGAAACTGTAACAAAACCTATATTATGGAAGTACCTATAATACTTCTCCGTATAACCTACACAAATTTGGTTTGTTTTTCAAATCCAATAAATACAACTTGTACTGTTCACGAGTTGTTTTTTGTTTTTTTTTAATATATCCATACTCATTTAAATAAACCCTACATACAATATGACCAGCAAAAATGGCCCGCGAGAAACAGAATTCCTACGAATCGAGAATCGACCCCCTGATCGTGTGGTAGAATTTTTATTTTACGTTCAAAAAAAATGTCAAATATACCGGGTGTTCAAATTAAAGGGTTACAGTTAAATACCGCCTTTTATAAAAAAATCAAAGTTTAATAATTTTTTGGGTAAAACATTTTAGCTAAAATTGTTTTTTTATAGCAAACCATAATATGGCCAACTTTTTTTCGCGCAGCAAAATTTTCAAGTAGATGTTACTCAATAAGTAGAAATCCAATAAAAAAATGTTTCCTTTAGAAGTTTCTTGTTTTTTTCATGAACTCTAAGAATACCTATGTAAAAAAATAAGGTTCCAATTTGAAAAAAAATCCACCTCGATATGGCCATATTATGGTCAGCTATAAAAAAAATAATTTAGCCAAAATGTTTCCCCTAAAAAACTATAAAACTTTTGTCTGATGCTTTTTTTTTATAAAATGCATATTTTTGGCGATATTTAACTGTAAAACTTTAATTTAAACGCCCGCTATAATCATCAACATACGTTCTTTTATCACAAAACACTAAATTATAATACCAACTTACTAGAAATCATCGTTCAGATTTGGTAACTAGAAACAACGTAACGACTTTGTTATTGAATAGAGTTTCAAAAATTATCGTTATAAAAGTCGTTGGTTGAACTGTCGTTAGCTTAACGATGTCGTCCATAAACGATAAATTACTGAATAGGGCCCTAAGTCTCTCCCCTGGATGAGTATCTCCCCTGGCATCTTATAAAACGAGATAAAATCAATAAATTGACTGACCGTCTTGCAGGCACGTTTGAAATGATTGTTTTGATCGAACCATTGTAAAATTTGATTTCAATTTCAAAATTTTTGTCGTGCCGCGTTTTATCAATAAGCGATTTACGTCTCAACTGAGAATGACCCATATATTAAGAAATTACGACTTGATTGTTTAATTCAACTTATGAAAGAAAATCATGAAAATGAACCATTTTGAAAGTTCTCAAGTAATTTTAACAGGAGAATTACACAAATTGTATTTAGAAATTATATTTTATTTATAGTATTTATAAACTTTTTGTAGTTAGAAATTGATTTGCCGTAGAAGGACTCTATTATAAGGTTACTGGGGTTAGTTTTGTTTTTATTGAAAATTGATGGCCTACCAAATAGTTTACAAAGTACATTCAGCCGCTATTTTTTTCAATATTCTTGTGTGGAAACAGAGAGATACAATAAATATGACAATAGGAACGACATTTATTTGACAGACGTTAAAACTTAACCATACTTTTATTGCAAATTTGAACTACTTTTAACGTATGTTAATTTATTTGCAAATTAAAAGTATGCGTTAATTTTATTTTTACAGAATTACAATTTATGTTAAAATCGTAAAATTTAACACCCGTTAAAAATAAACGCATTGAATTACATAATTACCACTATTAAACGCCAAAATTACGTTGACGTACTTATTTTAATCATTTATGTCATTAGCATCAATATTTTTATAGATTTTTACTGATTGCAGTAGTTCAGGAAACTAAAAACACTAATTATTAAAATTATCCTTTTTATTTTATACATGATTTGCTTTAAGTTTACAATATTTGAAATCAATTTGAATATTTTTGATAATTATTTTTTAATATTAAAGTTTCTTTGAATCATTACCATTGCTGTTTCAAAGCTCTGATCAGTTCAGTATTTTCAAGTTTTTGTTGGTTCCTAAACTATTGTGAAATTTAATAGATCTACCAAAGACATACCTTTTAACTTTATTTATATACAAGCATGATATTTTAAATAGTTATTTAAGTTTTATTTTTTTACTGACAACAAGGACCCACTGTTCCACTAAAATTTATTTTTGGTCTCATTCGTTGTTTACTTTGAAATCCATCCTGCGATAGAAATGATATTTTCTTCAATGCTTTAATTTATTTTGCTAAAGCTCTCTATAGAAACTATATACTAACTTTTGATATCAATTGCTTAATTTTGTTTTGATTATTTTTAGTAGTTAGGTAATTGCCATTCTTTTATGAGATATTATTTTTATATTTTAATTTCCAAAGTTTTACAACTTTGTTCTGATTTTTATATCTGTTTTTATATTATAGATATACAGTTTCGGAAATAAAACATTTACCTTCCACAAAAAGCGAAAACATAACATAGCATAGCTGTCAGAATTTTGTTATCTAATAAATCCAAATATTTTTGGACTCAAGTGGTCTTTGATAAAAAAAAAATGGAATGACTATGCGATCTTCTAAAATTCCAGTACATACATTCAATTTTTTAGAATACGTTGTGCATTACACTTAAATATTTAGTTTATCCTGACTATCTGTATCTACAAGGTGAGTGCCCCACATCACTTAGATCTCACTAGGTTCATTATGCTTCTCCAGGGACCTATAGGAGCTGCTCCTCACAGCTTGTCAAAAATTCTATTGGTTGACTATATGGCCAGGGCTGCCTCCCAGCTTGTTAAAGCTCTGGAGGTTAGTAACAATGCCAAGAGGTGTTTCTATTTACCCCTATTCTTTTTGTCGCCTCGTAACGCCTGTTGCTCTGTTTTAGTTGACCAGAAGTGGCTATTTGGTGGCCTTGTACCATCCCAATGGTAAATGCCCTGGCGGAGTGCCCAATGAACACTTGATATATTGAGTTTTCTGTGAAGTGCTATGAAATATTAATCAGTAATGTACTCAAATGTGTGGCCATCTTCAATAATGGATTGAATAACATGAAATCATTAATTGACAACCGGTTTCGGCCCATCAGCACAAAATGAGAAAATACAAATGAACACAAAATTGTTAGCAAAATAAGTTGTTACAAACCTTACAAAAGCATAATTGTTTGATATATAAGTCAATTATCAATTTCTTTAACAATTTGTCTACTATTGAACGTTGTTTGTGTTATATTTCTTTATTTCCAAATTCTTCTGGCATTTGATTTTACGCACTCAAAATTTTCCAATAATTATATCTACAGGTTTTTTTCATTGAGAAACGGAAATAATATGTTATATTAGTGATGACGTAATTTGTATTCCAGTGACAGTAGACATTGTATTTCATTTATTTTCAAAATTGTATTTAATTAAACATTAAAAATATTTTTTTTACATACCTTAAACTACTTTTTTACTTCCTGCAAACTATATTAAAAAAATCTGACTTTCCTGTCTAGTTATTATAGGCTTTTTCCGGCTATTATGTACAACCCCTGTAAATGTTTAGAGGATGAACTAAATAAATACTTTTTTCACACACTTATTACTCAAAACTTTTTTTATATACAGGGTGCGACAAAAGTCAGTCAACGCTATCAAAAATAATCTCTGTGCCAACGCAGAAATCTGTAGGAAGACCTGTTTTGCCGATGCCAAAAATGTATTGATGAAAGCAGTTTACACTTTGAACATAAAATGTAAGGCATGCACTCAATAATAAACCAAGTTTTTGTATCCTTTCATCGTTTGTTTTTATTAATATGTAAATCTGCCTTTTGCCGCACCCTGTATATTCATTGCTAACGAAAATACTGAAAAATTAAATTTTACACTTTTCCTTAAATATTTCCATTACGGTTCAATTTAGAGAAATCATGTTTAGAATAAAAATTATAGAGAATGATATCGCAAACAACTTTTATTTGAACAATTTTCTCAAAAAATCAATGTCAAATTTTTCGAATATGCACCATTTTAGGAAAATTATGTACATGACAAAAATTATAGAGAATAATAATACAAGCAACTTTTATCTGAAGAATTTTCTTCTTCAAGCGTAAATAACAGATATATTCCATAAAATAGAAAAATGACCTGTATAAAGTTCCTCCCCAAATGTTCCGACTGTTCCCAAAATCTAATCCGCTCAACGCAGAATGGCTTTAGTTTAAAATTTGGTGTTTCTCTATATCCATTCATGAGCTATCGAGTATACAGACAGAAAACTGATTCAGTGGACCCCAAAACCTAAAAATTCGAGGTCCTATACTTTCTTTATCTGTATACAGACAGGAAATTAAAAAAAAAAAAAACTGTAAACGTCTTATTGACAGAACGGTTTGTTTTTGTTAAAATTCAACTGTCAGTGAAACAATATATCATTTTTAATAGGTTTTGCAGTCTTTATCACTGAGATATAGGGTGATGTGTCGATTTGGCCTATTTATTTCTAGGGTCATAACTAACGATCTACTCTATATAATAAATTGATATATACATTTTCCATTCTCAAATAATGTGCTAGCCCCAAAAAAATCCAGGTCCGGATTAACTAAAAATCAAGAAATTGTGTCTTTAAAACAGTACCCTGAATAGCAGAATTTTCAAATTCAGTTTACATATTTGAAAAAGGCATAAAAATTTTAATTAAAAAGTGATTCGATCCCGAGGCCCTTCGTTCTGAAAATCATGGCTTTAACCACTGAGCCAACCCACCCCTTTTATTATTATTTTTTTTTTATATACAATTTTGAATTTGAAGTTTTTGTGCATTTATAGAAATTGTGCCAAAAATGAAGTGTCATGGGTTTTTAAAATTAAATTATAAAAAATATTTAAGATAAACTCATTTTAAACCCTAAATAATTATTATTTACTGAATAAGTTTCTATTTATAATCCTCTATAAAACACTCTAATCTGTTACATGTCCGTAAGTAGACTTTTTAAACATTCTGAATGCACATATTATTTAAAATTGGTATTAAGTATGAGAATTGCGAAATATTAAACTGCTTTCATTCCATTTTAGAATAGTTTAAAATAATCAAAAATGGTAATTTCATTTCTATATAAGGTAAAATGTATGACGGAAAAATAAATGCTCTGAATGTGCCTTTCTGTTACCTAACAACTAATTTTAATTTCTCAAAGAAATACCCTGTTTCCTCGTTTTAATTGGTCTATTCTTTAAAGAAATCATAAATAAATTTCTTTCTTACATAGAATAGTCCCTATAAAGTCAATATTGACATGGCTAACAAATAAATAATGTGAATGGTAAATGCTTTATTTCCTACAATCTTGTTATAATCCAATTATTTTACAATCGATAATATAAAAAAAACAATGATATATACTCAATAATATTTATTTTTATAAACAATTTTATATATAATTTATATACAATTGTGTATTTGTTCTTTCAGTTAAGTTACTAATGTATTTACATGTTTGTCTTAATCTAGTTAATTTATTATTATAAAAAATATTTATTTATTGCGTGGTGCACACAAAAAGTCAATACTATTGTAAAAAAATTATACAGGGTACTATAAACTCATTAGTTATTGTTTTCAATGTATTTACAATTCGTTTTTTTTTTATCCTGTATATATTTTACGGCTAAAATATTGTAGTGAAATTGTATGATTGTTATTATTAAAAAAATACATACAGTACGTCCATAAAATATATTAAATAAAAATAAAAACATATTTTATATTTTTTTTTTCTAAAATTGTATTCAAATACGCCAATTAGACATTTTTTTAATAAATCTATTTTTTATCATTTATGGACGGACTAAAAAGGAATTTGAAAAAATTTGTGGTTCTAAATCAAAAAGAATCAAGATATATATAATTTTTGAATGGATAATTTTATTTTAAATCAAAATATTTCAAGACTGAAAGAATTTTTTCAAAATATGGCCTTACAAGAATTATCAGTTATAGTTTTAAATCTTTTTCACAAAATATTTCTTCAAAGATTTTAAGATTATTATAATACGTTAGACACTTTTACTAACAATAACAATATGTTACTAAATTGATCACAAATTCTTAAAAATTCAAACATAAGCAATAAATTTGATATCAAAATATAATACTCTAAATTAAACAATAATCTAAAATAAATCTTATTTACAATTTGAGCAATTTTATTTATACACAATTGTTCAAAAAGTCTTAATATTGACTTAGTTTTGATCACACCCGTTATTAATGTTTTTATCACTTTATTTTTTGGGTTCCTAGTCAAAATGATATCGCTACATGTTCCTTATTGATGGATTGTAGGTAACTTTTGACGGTTTTGCGTCTTCTTCCACCGTATTTTCTTCCTCTGAGTCCACATCCCTAAAAATAAAAGTAATGTTTAGATAATCCAAAGTTAAATCATTTTGAGATTACAAAAATTAAGTGATGTTAACTTACGTATAGGGATTATGCCTTGACATAAACAAGGATTTTGGACAGTCCTTCATATATGGCCAACATTCTGCTGGTCCTCCATATTGTCCCGAACCCGCTTGTTCTGCTTCTACATATTCGTTCAGTTTATCGGCATAAGGAGATTTACTTGCACTAAAAAAGAATCTCATTTTAATAACATGTATTTTTATAGTTTAAAATCAACGAAAGTAAAAGTGTTATATCCGAGGGGCACTGCTAAAGTTCACAAAACCGAATACCTATGATACGATAAAAAAAAGTATTATATTGCACAGATTTATACCGCGTGACGGTGACGCACTCTGATGCGGAGGCGGAGTTTTTAATCACTTGGCCAACGATTAATACATAAAGTTTGTATTATTAGTATTTGACTCGTTATATCGCAAACTCGGCGAATTTGTGAAGTTTAGCATAAAAAACTATCTTGTGTGTGCATTCTGTTTTAAGTTTTCAACTGTTGATAAGTTTATTTGAAGAAACTTTCGTTCAATGCAGTGGCGGCTTGTTCTAAGAGGTCAAAGAGCCGTGGCACTAGCACAGAAGATCTCGACAAATCTTTATTTTTTATTTTAGTTCAATTATTATTACAACAAATTGGCATCGTGTATTCGAAGACAACAAAGCGACTGACAACTCACTATATTCCGTCCTGGCCACATCTAATAACGGCCGGGCTGCGAGAATAGCGATGTATTGAAAACGATTACGTCACTAATGCAGAAAGTACGTGTTTAAGGCTGGTTTTATGTACTCCGTTTGTGAACGTCCGTTCAAAAACGGACGTCTGTGTGAACTTGCGTCGGTCATCTTTATCTTTGTCGGTTACTTATAAGCAGGTTGGGTTAGGTTTGGCCCAGAACACTCTGGCGTCTTGGGTCTATTGTATTCGCCTGCTTTACCGCGTATTCAGGTACTGTGCTTGGAATAGTCCTGTGTCTTTGGTTAGTTTTAATAAGTTCCCTACCAAGTGTTCCTGGGGCGTTCTTTCCGGTTCTATGCCGAAAAGGATTAAACGTTGCCTAGTAAGAGCTTCACATTCGAAAATCACATGGTATGAGGTTTCTTCCATGCACAGTCTACACGTAGTGGGATCATTGTGTAATCCCATCACATGAAGGTGTTTCAGCAAGTAGTGCCCCGTTAGTAATCCCACAATGGTGGATATCTGAGGTCTTGCGAGTTGTAGTGCCTCAGTAGCCATGCGTGGGTTTGGTCCCCGTAGCATGAGCTTACTGATTCTGTGCCCTCTGTTGCCAGTGAATTTGGTGTTTTGTAGTTATCCACCTGTTCACTGTCTGTCGAGCAGAGGTTTTGCTTATCCCAAATGCAGGTTCGGGTCCTGTGAATGGTAGATCTGACCCCTCTTTGGCGAGTTCATCAGCCTTTTCATTTCCTTGGATACCTTTGTGCCCTGGTACCCACGCTACTTTTACCTTGTTGTGGGTTGTCAGATCATTTAGTATTCCGAGGCAGTTCCAGACAAGCTTTGACTTAATTCTGTTTGAATCAAGAGCCTTTAAGGCTGCTTGGCTATCTGAGAGAATTAGCATGGTTTGTTTTTTGTACTTCCTTCTTAAATTCTCTCGTACACACAATGCATGTATTTCAGCCTGAAATACAGTGGTATGTTTTCCCAGTGAGACGATGATGTCGCATTTGGGTTTAACTCCATGTACGCCAGAGCCTGTTCCCTTGTTAGTTTTATATCCATCCGTATACCATACGAGACCGCTAAGCCTCGTTGCAGTTGATCTGGAAGAGTCTGTTAAAGGTTAGGAGGGATGTCATGTTATCTGATCCCATATTTAATATAGAATCATTTACTTCATGTGTTATTCTGGTATGTTTTATATGTCCCAGCGGGTTCCAGTTGTTGGAGATTTCCAGTCTGTATGTACTTATTCTGGCCTCCCCCTTTATGACTAGGTCAAGGGGTGGGAGGTTTAGAATGATTTCCATAGATTTTAAGGTGAAGGGGGGAGAAAAAGTCCTTTATATCTCACAAGGAAAGTCCAATGTTTAATTATTCAACAAAACATTGAGTGCGACCGGTTTCGAAGTAACATCACTTCATCTTCAGGCTCGCCATACTCTCCATCCACTAGGGAATACTACAAACCAGTTTCATCAAAACGTGGGGGATGAAATAAATTGTAAAACAAAACAATGTTACAAGTTATAAAGTTAAAAATATTTGAAAAACAAATATTAGTCGATAAAACAGTTAAAAATTTTAAAATATTCAAGACGATACAAAATTGATTTTGTTTTTGTATCGTCTTGAATATTTTAAAATTTTTAACTGTTTTATCGACTAATATTTGTTTTTCAAATATTTTTAACTTTATAACTTGTAACATTGTTTTGTTTTACAATTTATTTCATCCCCCACGTTTTGATGAAACTGGTTTGTAGTATTCCCTAGTGGATGGAGAGTATGGCGAGCCTGAAGATGAAGTGATGTTACTTCGAAACCGGTCGCACTCAATGTTTTGTTGAATAATTAAACATTGGACTTTCCTTGTGAGATATAAAGGACTTTTTCTCCCCCCTTCACCTTAAAATTACTTCAACTCACACATGGCTACCCCCCTTGTCGATTTCCATAGAGGCTGTCGGTGTACTTCTCAGTGCTCCTGTAATACAAAGGCATGCCAACCTCTGTACTCCTGAGAGGGTATTGAGGGCTGTTTTCTGGTTTACTTTTGGCCACCAAACAACTGCTCCATAAGTTATCATGGGTCTTGTTATTGCCAAATATAACTAGTGGACCATTTCTGATTTTAATCCCCATGTTTTTCCAAATGCCCGTCTCCCTACAATAAGAGACTTTTTACATTTGTTGGCCACTTTTTGTAAGTGTTGGTTCCAAGTTAGTTTGCTATCTAGGAGAAATTTTACTTGGTTCGTTTTGTTTAGCCTTCCTCCAAACAGAGTCGGAGTTTCTAAAACCTCCAACCTTGTTTTCCGAGTAAAGCTACTTCTATGTCAAGAAATGCTCCTAGGACTATTTCTTGGCTGCTGAGTCCCTCCTCTATCTTGGTTACAAGATGATGCAGGGCAGACTCACAAGATTTTCCAGTCAAACGATGGATAGTACTGTTGACGTTGAACGCAATAACGTTGGTAAACGTAATGACCGAAATACGTGCGTTTAGAGCGAACGAACTTAGCAAATGCAGTGAAACGTATGACCGATGCAGGTACACACAGACGTACGTTTTCAAACGGACATTCACAAACGGGGTGCATAAAACCAGCCTAACCGAGTGACTCGAATTAATTTTTTGAGTATATCGCATGTTGATGTACGTAAATGCATCGGTGGGCCGGTTTAAATAAGTTAGATGTTTTGTATAATAATATAAATATAGTTACTGTTTACAAATCGTTCGATGCAAAATGAATAAAATAAGCAATCTGTTAATGAAATCTTTTTTCACGCAGTCGCTCGAGGACAAAATTCAAATCAAAGCAGAACTTGGAAGACTTCTACATTTAAAAATTACAATAAGGCTTCCACCTCTAATTCGTCAAGCTTGAACTTTAAGAGCCTTATAAGGAAGTTTAATTGAAATATGTGGGTAATTTAAAAATAAGTGGATTTGAGGATTTGATAAAAAAATGCATTTTTTTTTTCGTTTAGCGTGTTTTGTTTAGGGGCGCTTCTATGTGGACGACGACGCACTTATTTAGTACATATTTATGAGACAATTAAAGCACATGAAAACAGCAAGGCACATATAAATAATAATTTTAGTTTTTTTGCTCGGAAAATCAATTATAATAATTAAGTTCGACTCATAGCCAAATTAAGCCCAACCAAGAAGTTGATAAAAACAGATATATTTTAAACATCATTATTAACTGTATTAGATTTTGTGGTGCATTATAATTAGCATTACGAGGTCATGATGAAATCGAAGAATTCATAAATAAAGGAGTGTTCCGAGAATTGATAGATTTTAGTTCTCAAGTAGATATAGATTTAAAGGAACATTTCAACAAAGCAACAGTATTTAAAGGGACCTCTAAGACAATACAAAACGAATTATTGGACTGCATGCTTGGCGCTTACAATGAAGAAGAGACTAAAGAAATAAAACAAAAACTATGTGGCTGTAATTGCCGACGAAACTACCGATGTTGCTAACTAATTTCAGTTAGTCATTATTCTACGATACATTGCCTCCAATAAATGCTAGTTGAAAAATTTTGGAAATTTTTAAATCCTCCCAGACACAATGCCAGTTCAATAGCAAAGCATTTTTAATGAAATCGATCACCCAATAAGTTAATCGTATAACGTTATGACGGAGCATCAGTCATGAGCGGAGGTGTAAATGGAGCCCAAAAAATAAAGATAAATATTCTTTTGAAATTTATGTACATAGCTTATGCACATCAGATTAACCTTATAATGAGCAATGCTGCTTCAATTAATGCATCTCTTTCGGATTGTTTTCGCTCATGTAAAGGAATTTATTTACCACGATTATAACAAACGAGATGGAACTTGCAATCACGAGAAGTTAATACAGTTTAAGAGTACCGAAATGAGCTGTTACACGTTACGGATATTTTAGAGAACGATAAAAATATTAAATTGAATTCTACGATTTAACAAGTATAACCTAAGATTATAGAACCGGCATTTCATATTTTGGTTAACAGTTTTTCACAAAATCATGCCACATCTAGAAATAATAGAGACGATTAATACCGACCCTATCAAGGCTTGACAATATCTAGAAAATTGTAAAAATGCTACGAAAAAAATTCGTGATGAAATAGACACAATTACTGATCAACTAGAATCGCAGCTTCTATCCGATCTATTTCAACAAATAAAAAAAAAATAGAAGCCTTGGAAGTTTGTGGTTCCATTATATAACAGATTAGGGCTCGATTTACTTTTACAGGACATCTGATAGCTGATAGTTACCGCATTATTAATGGAAGAACCTATTCTCGAATACAAAAAAAAAACTTTCCTGACAAACTGCTCTCTGATACACTTAAATTATATCCATTTCTAGAAAAAAAAAATTGTCTAAAAGCAGAACTGCAAGTACTTTATGAAAGAGAAGAATTGCACACCATTTCTGAAGCGGTTCCTCTTTTATCATTAGTTTCACAGGAAGATATGAGGTAGGTACACTTTTCAAGAAACTATTAAGCTATTATCAATTTTAGTGACAACACCTATGTCAACATCCGAAGCTGAAAGATGATTCTTTATGTTAAAGAGGATAACTTTTTTACGCAGCTGAATGAAAGAAGAAAAACTAAGTGCATTGGGAATGTTATTGGCTGAAAAAGTGTTTCTTAATACCACTGAAGACTTTAATAAACGAGTTATTGAACTTTTCGCTAGTAAAATACTTGTCATAAAGATTAATTTAGTCTTACCTGAAAAATAGTTTCAGCATCTCTCCTACCAATCCGAAATTCGTCAAAGGATAGGCGTGAACTTCACAGATGGCCCTCAATAAACACGCCTTTCCATCCATTCCGAACTGCTCGAGCAGCTCCTCCAACATCACATACAGTAACGCCCTTTCTCCTCCGTGAAAGGCTTGAGGCACTGCCTCCTTGGATGAATTTCGTACTGATCGTTTTCCACGCCGTCTATCCAACATCGATCCAATGTAATCTGCTAGTACTGTTCCCGCCGCTCTGCCCATCGATCGGGCTAGAAGAGGAGGAAGGACTCCGTATGGATTTTCGTTGTCGGTAAGACCAAGTTTATTGAAGTCAACTGAAAATTATTAATCAAATAATACTTGTAAATATTAAAATCCCGGGTTAGAATGTCGCTAGAACCGGGATTTTTTTTAATGTATAATTAAAAAATTATAATGCCTAATTAAAAAATTATAATGCCTAAGTAGGACCATAATGGGCAGTAAAATACTGCTACTGTTTCTAATCTAATCTAAAAAGATTAACCTCGTCTTGAAGCAATTTTGTAACTTGACGTCATGTGGCTACGTGGCGTAGGTAGGATTATTTTTGTTTTGTCATTATTATATTTTTTTTTATCTTAAACTAAACAATATACTTCTTGTATACACTCATCTACAAATTATTTTAATTGATGAAATGCAACTGGAATTACACATTAAGGTTTATTATATTCCTTCTGTCTCTATACAGTTGCTCCTGAATGGCCCTGAAACTTGGAAGGATGGATTACACTATCCCAAAAACATACCGACTAATTAGCCATACATCGTTTTCCATGAAGACATTGGAGAGGAAATGCAAAAGGTACATAAGGGATGTAGTGATTACAACACCACCACCACCACTACACCCGAATCAACATGCAGGTCTACTGATTCAGCCGTTCACATAGGTGGTGCCCGAATAGAGAGATCCCTGGACAATAAAAGATTCCGCCTTGGGTGTTTTCATAGTAAGACGGCTTTTTCCAAGATAATACACTCACAAAATAACAGGAATGTTCCACAGATGGTTAGTAGGTGGATACATAACATGCTTTCAAAGTTGCTGCGAGGGGATGTCCACAGGGAAGGGTGCTATCACCTCTACTATGGAACATGGTCCTCGACACTCTCATTAGCCGCCTCAATAATGGCAGTCACTACACAATAGCGTATGCAGATGATCTGGTCATTCTGCAAACAGGGAATTTTGAGAACATACTCTGCGAAAGAATGCCAAGAGCTCTCAAAATTATAGAACAGTGGTGCAAGGTCCATTCACTGTTTATCAATCCCAAGAAGACAGAAATGGTCCTTTTTGTTGATATTGCCCATTAGTTTTAGCAGTCCCTGTATATTCATTATATGTAATATAGGTAATCGAGTTGTCGGAGTTGATGACATTATGTTGTAAAAAGTCAGAAATAAAGCTGAAAACATTAACGTTTGATTATTTTATTCTTGCCCAAACTATCTAACTTGAATAGGTTATGGGCCTAATAATGAAATAATAGTGTCGCATAAATCTAATCTGTAATAAAAATTGTTCGTTTGGGGAGAAACTTGGTGTACAGGAGTATTCTCTGGAAGTGTCACTGGAAGTACAATTGCTTCAGTTGTACAAGTTGCTAATCTAAAACCGTTTGATGGAACTAGCTTTAATACATGGGAGTTCAGAGTAAAGTTAGTCTTGGAACAGTATAATGTCTTAGATGTTCTGGAAAAAGCAAATGAAACGGTGAGAAAACAAGGTGAATTTATAAAGAGAGACATCAAAGCACGGAATATTATAGTGCAGTGGGTGACTAATGATATTTTGGAAACACTGAGAGATGCAAAAAATGTAAAAGAAATGTATGAAATTTAAAAAAATACTTATACAAAATGAGGTCTTTCTGCACAAGAAGAACTCTAGCGAAAGTTAAGAAACATGCAGTACAAAATAGGCTCGCTCAGAGAATTACAAATTTCGAAAAGACCGCATCAGAATTAAGAAGCTTTGGAGGCATTATTGATACTATTCTGTTTTTAAACTAGGAGGAGCGAATTGAAAAGACGCATTTACACAGGGAAAAGTAACTAAATTTGTTACTGAGAGCGAGTTTCGAAATATAGTCGTGTTCAAAATTTATGAAATAATTATCTTTATCGGCCTTAGTCGGTGAACGGCCAATGAGCGGTTAAGAAACGAATAAATGTCATAGAAGTAATTTTTTAATTGGCCCCAGACAACGGTCGCAAATTTCACATTATTGTGATAAATCTGTGTCTAAAACGAAATGTCACTGTCAAATTAAAGTCAATATGGTTGTTGATTGATGTCAGAAATACTTTTTTCTTGCTTTTGAAATCGACTTTTTGAGAATAACTATGATCTTTTTAAAATGGATATTAAATATTTAAGAATATTGTTAATGGAATATCCAGATGTAGCCAGGTTAGTATAAAATATAAAGATCTGTTTACATTTTTAAGGATATATTTGTTATAGGTATAAAAAGTACAAGTTCTTATCAATCATCTAAGCAATTCAACATACGAATATATCTCCGAGTGTTCCAATTATCCTGCTGCAATAAAAGTTTTAACTGAAATCTACGTTAAACCTAAAAACGAAATATACTCTAGGCATAAGTTGTCAACTAGAAAACAACTTCCTGGAGAATCGATTGATCAGTATGTAAGAAGTCTCGAACAATTAAGCAAAGAATATAGTTTTAAAGCAGTGACTGCTGAAGAAAATAAAAGTGAGTACATTCGAGATGCCTTTATTAATGGAATTATGTGTCCAAATTCGACAACGCCTCTTAGAAAATAATAACTTAAGTCTTGCCGACGCTGTGAGTAAAGCTCAATCTCTAGAAGCTGCCCAACAACATTCCAATGCTTATGTATCTCCATTAAGTCTTGCCTATACTGTATCAAACGAAATCAACAATCCAACCACCTCACAGACATCATCTACTGATCCTATTCCACAAACAGTTGCGGCCTTAGAAAGGTATAGATGTTATTTTTGTGGAAACAAAAAACATCCTCGTTTCACTTGTCCTGCTAAAGACCAAACATGTAAAGAATGTGGCAAAAGAGGTAATTTCTCAAACGTATGTATGAGCAAAAGGCTTAAAAATAGGTCCACGTCAGCTTCACTTTTACATACGACTGGTTTAATCGCGGCTGCTCCACAATGTCTTTCAAAATCATTGATAAAAGTTAAGATCAATAATATTCCAGCTCACGCCCTCATTGATACTGGCAGTTCCGAGTCCTACATTGACGGACATTTTGTTAGAAATATTAAATTGCAAATACTGCCAAGTAATGGCAAAATATCAATGGCTTCTACTGCCCTAAGCTCAGACATATCTGGTCACTGTTTCGTTAACTTGGATTTAATGGAATATCACGATAAAAATAAAAAGCTATCTGTACTTAAAAATCTCTGTGCTGACGTCATAATTGGACATGACATCCTTAAAAACTATTCTAAGGTCGAACTAGACTTCGGTGGTCCTAGACCAGCATTAACAATCTGTGGTTTGGTTTTAGCCAAAGTCGAACCACAAAGTCTATTTAATAATCTTGCTCCTAACTGTACGCCAATAGCTACAAGATCCCGAAAACATTCTTGTGACGATAAAAAATTTATACATGAAGAAATCCAAAAACTCCTTGGTGAAGGAATAATAGAGGAAAGTACCTCACCTTGGAGAGCTCAAGTTCTAATTACTAAAAATGAACATCATAAAAAGAGAATGGTAGTAGACTACTCGCAGACAATTAATCGCTTTACATTTTTGGATGCATATCCCTTACCTAATATTGAAGAACTTATCGCTCTCATTTCAAAATACAATTTCTTTAGTACAATCGATCTTAGAAGTGCTTACCATCAAGTTCCGATACGGAAAGAAGAAAAACTCTATACTGCTTTCGAAGCTAATGGGACGCTCTATCAATTCCGAAGAATCTCATTTGGTGTAACCAATGGTGTAGCATGCTTTCAGAGAGTTATTGACAGTATTATCAAACGAGAAAAACTACCTGGCGTCTATGCATACTTAGATGATGTCACAGTATGTGGAACCAGTCAAGCTGATCATGACGAGAACCTTCAAACATTTTTGGCTTCTGCAGAAAAATACAACCTTACCCTTAACTATAAAAAATGTCACTTTTCAAAACGTTCGATCAAAATTCTGGGCTACCTTATTGAAGATCATATTATAAAGCCTGACCCAGATAGACTAGAACCTCTAAAAAATTTACCTCCACCTACAAACCTGGCATCTCTTAAAAGAATTATGGGGTTATTCGCTCACTACTCTAAATGGATACCAGGGGTTTCAAACAAAATTCATCGGTTAAATACATGTAAAATATTTCCTCTTCCAACGGCAGAAATGTCAGACTTTGAAGAATTAAAAAAGGATATAATTCAATCAGCTGTAACTGCCATTGACGAGCTAATACCCTTTGTAGTTGAAACTGACGCGTCTGACTACGCTATAGCAGCAACTTTAAGCCAATCAAGCAAGCCCGTTGCATTTTTCTCCCGAACTCTATCAGCTAGTGAACAAAGGCATTCTTCAGTAGAGAAGGATGCCTATGCTATAGTTGAGGCGTTAAAGAAATGGCGTCATTTTCTTATTGGGAAGCACTTCAAACTAATAACAGACCAAAAATCTGTTTCCTTTATGTTCAATAAATTGTAATGAAAATACCTTCTGAAATTAGGCTTTATTGAACAGAATTTTAGTGACAGTAAATAATATGACAACTCTATAACAAAGAATAAATAAACCATACAGGATGTACAAAACTATATATAAAACATGAACACAGTTTTTCATTACACCAACATTTTCATAACACTTCATGTCAACATATATTTTTTAAAGTGAACTATTCATACATACCTATGTATTAATTTTAAGTATTTTTAAAATATTTTTTGTGAAAGTAATGTTAACTCATTGTGCCAAATTAAGATTATCCCTAAAGTAGTAGATGATCTTTTAAATGTAACAATTTTGTAAATAGTTTTATTCTATTCTAATAAATAAAATTTGCTTGAATATTTAGTTACATTTTAATCATTTTGGTTAGAAATTCATCAATTTTTAGTTTTAAAAAATCAGTAATAAAATTATTTTTTCTAAAATACTTCGGAATTCATCTCTTCATGGTAATCTCCCATCTTTTTAACTTCAAAAACCAATAATGCATTTTCTACAAAACTTTCAGAATCGGCATGTAAAATAATAAGGTGTCTTCCCTTTCTTGTAAGGCTTTTCAGGAATTGCTACCT